GTAATGCGTATGTAAGCACTGCCAAACATTAGGACTGCCCAGTTTACATCAAAAGAAGAGAATACATAGTCCATTTATCAGGCGTTGGAAAGTTATTCACAGGACATTCTTTGTTTATGTATATTACGTGACCACAAGAACAAGACTGGCCTACTTAGGAAAAAAAACGGAGGTTCCCAGGGGTTTTATTCTGTTTCCACCGACCAGAATATAGAATCAGAAAGATATAAGGAGGCTTCATATGCATGTAGTGATGAAATACACTGCATAGATAGGCCGTGTGTCTCAGTCCGCGGCTAGAATCTGCGACTGCCAGTGGAGGCAACAAATATGCCAGGAGAGATGAAGTGAGTCAGGGCAAAACAGTAAAACACATTCTGTGGAGCGATGTATTAGTCGCACTGAACATGGAGGTCATGTGCTAACTCCTACCCATTCATCACGGTACTCTCACTCCCTGCCAGAGCAGATAGTGATTGAACACACTGCAGAGAACAGACACTTTTTAAAATTATTTTTCTTCCCTGTATAACACAATTCAATGTGAGCTGAAAACAGTAATCAAACAAAATAACTGAACATCATAGAAAGTCTCTCTTCACCACAACATGAAAAGCTGTCGCACCACAGGACCCTACTATATATTTTAAATCAGGCAAGGCCACACGGGCACAGCACCTTGTGCCTGCTAGTGTTGCATGATGTTCAGGGAAATCAGCTAGCTCTAAAGCTCTAATGAACCAGCAGTGTACTTCTGAGAACTGTGGTCAGGCTGTCAGCAATTAGCATAAGCCAAATAAATAAGCATAAATAAATTATTGTAATACAAATGAATACTCGCAACTGTATGCATGTTTATACTGACAGCCATTTGCAGATGACTGCATATCCCAGGCAGAGAAATAAGTACGAGCCATTTAATGCTTGCAAGCAAAATAAGAGATACTGAGCCATACCACTTCAGTCTTGTTTGATCCAGAGAGGTTCTGTCAGTTGCTTTAATGAAAGTGCTAGAAAGTGGCCATCAAGAAGGAAGAATCAAATATCCAGCCGCTCAATATATCCTCAAATACAATTACCCTTTTCCACAAGGTTCAACATTCCAGTCCTTCTTGAAGGTAAGAGAACATCTGTGGGGTTGTCTGAAATGTTGCTACTGGGGCTGTCAAAGTTAATGTGTTAATAACATGTTAATGTGATAAATTATAAACAGCACTTATTTTTGCAACGCTGTTAGCACATTTTCCACATCTTTGAACCATCTGCAGAAGTGCAGGCTGAAGCACTGTATGTTACTATGATGGAATCCATCACTGGAAATGATTTTCATGTTCAGGTTCATGATGAAAATAATGTTCCTGAACTATTCAAAGTAATAAATATATTGTAATGAAGCTTATGTTGCCCATTAAAATTGCACTGCTTTTTAAAAGGAAAAACAGAAAGCAACCTGACAGTACGACTGACTATGCAAAATAATACAATCAATCATAATTAATCCTTTTAATTATTTGACAGCCCTAGTTGTTAATATTTTGGATATGAAAAATGTAAATATGTTACATTTGGGTAATTTAGTCGCCTTTTATTTGTTTGTTTTATTTTTATCTTAATTGATTTATTTGAAAATGTTCACAATGATCACCCTAAAGGTATATGTGCCAGCATGAAGGGACGAAAGCTGACATCATATGTAGGGTTATCTGGCTGTGAGCTAGTATGCAAACATTTTGGCAGGCAAGATATGATAGCATTTTTGGTTTTGACCATTTTCGGTCTCAGACATTAGGCCTACTTCTGCTGTTGTGCCGCTGGCCTGTCATTAATGCTAAATGCAGAAAGTGACATCGCACCCCAGTGCTAAAATTCAGCAAGGACAATTTAAGTGTTAAAAGCATAAAACATGCAGATTAGGCTGTTTAAAAATAGATAGTTGTAAAAAGCATGCCTGAGAAGTCTAGACCCAACAGAGCCCATTAAATGCATTATTCAAACAGTCTGAAAAGTAGATGATGAAACAGTGAGGCAATACGGCCCAGCGCAAGCCACCCAATGAGTGTCCTTCCTCCATAGAAAAATAAACCTCTACCCGTTTACTATCACTTACACCACGCCAGTCAACAGATCCTCTATTCAAGATAAACAGGGCTCTGCTTTCAAACGTAACAGTGCTTAATGGTCTTGTCACTCAAGAGTTACTACTGCAGAACTGTAGCTTGAAATCAGTTCAGCCTGAAGGACAGTTGTTAGTTGCCTGAGTTTGGAAGAAATTGCATCATTTGAAAATGACAACTGTGCCCTCTTTCAGCACGGATTATCCTGTGTGAAAGTGACTCGATCAAGTGAGTGGGGGGTTTAATTAGAGCAACACTGCACTTCCTGCTGCTGCTCACTGGGATGGCTGGCAGGAAAGAAGGGAGGAGCATGCTACAGTAAGGGAGGAGTGCACACTCAGCCTTAAAAATCCCTTGGGAGGGAGAGAAAACAGGATTTATGGTCTCACCATAACGGAGATCCTTTTAACTGCGTCATAGTCACGATTTGCTGCAATCCCCATACCCAAGCCCACGTGACTCTACTGCTACCCCTCCCCCATGCTGTCCTTACACAGAGTGGCTGATGGAGAAAAACATGAAGAAAGAAGAGGAGCAGAAACGAGAGAGAAAGAAAAACACTGAGCCAACCAAGGCAGCAGAATATATGGCTTGCTAATCGTTAGTGCGATATTGGAATTTTGCAATACTGATTTTGCAAATGAACCCTGTAACCAATCACAATACGGTTTCCTCTGTTAAAATTTGCACATTGTATTTACTTATTCAACATGCGCTTGGTCTGAAGGAAGTCATGGAAACTGTGAAAATAAGAACATGAGCAAAAGTACAAAAATCAAACAACATGGACAACAATCAAGGCAATATGTGCCTGCAATGCGCCTGAACACTACAGCTCATTACATACACTGCGTGCAGCCCCACCCACTAACTGCTCGCTTATGAGATGCAGGGTTTGAAAGGCACAGTGAGGTAATGGAGCCGTCAACAAGCTCGAGATAAAACAGCCAAAACATTCACCAAAATATTCAAGAGAGGTATTATTCTACTTTGGCTAAGGGAATAAAGTTTGTGACTGCACATATATATTGCACATCACAGCACATTTTGAGCCGTATCTTTTTTTACATACACACTTCTGGTCAGTAACACATCGCTTGAGACATTGCTAATGCAAATTTATGCCTGTTTTTAAAAGGCGGAGGAAAATCGACACAAAACCAGCTGCAAATCTCTCGCGCTTTAGTAAATCATTTGGAATATGTAAGCAGCTGCACGTGTAACATCTCTACCCTCTTTTTTGCGCCATCCTCACACATTTTGCGTGACCTTCCTTTAAACGCATATGTAGATGAGAAAGAGAAACCCATTTTACCATACAGCCCATAAACTGCACATTAAGGCTTGTGTGCCAGTTTGTACATAACAGACTGGCAGAATGTGCCTGATTTGTGCCTAAAACTGATGCAAAAGCATCTATGGACATGGACAGATTACATGTAATCAACATAAAGCTACCAAAATGCAAAGGGAACATAAATTCACAACAGCTGTGCATCAGTCCAGGCTACAGTTACCAGGATTCATTATGAAATCATTCACTCAGTGAGAAGCCTTAATCTTGAGTTCATGTGCTACGCTGTGGGGGTTCTCACCACAGTCAGCCATGCTCAGAGAAAGAGATGGACCTATATTTTACACTTACAAGCTGTGCTGTATTGTTAGTGCTCCTGGGCTACTACACATTTATTGTAGCAGTGAACCAGTGGACAAGAATGAGGCAGAACAGCATGAAAGTATAACGTATTTCCACTATGTTAAACATGAATTTCCAGGCTTGCTTTAAAGAACGTGTTAGTATGTTCTACAATCTGAAAATGTGTAACATGACCTATAATTTAGTTTTCTGAATACATCATTCTGAATTTGTGAATGCCTTAATGAAATTTTGATGCATCGATGCAACTGACAAGATATTACTTTAAAGTGAAATCAAAAGCTGAGCTCAAAGAAAGACTTCTAGAGCTTAGCTTCAGCCCAGAGACCTAAATAAAAATGGAAGAATGCACTGGCTGAGAGCTGCACTTCAGAACGGTTTTGTTTTCAAAGCTGAAGGCAAAGCAACATCAGACAACCAACAAAGCAGCAGTCACCACAGGACTCCCCCTTTCAAGTGTTTAAAGTCAAATTCTGATGTCAAGGATGAGCCTGCTACAAATAAGCCTACCACTACAGAGGCACATATTTACTAGCACTGTTTGAGAACTCAAACGTCTCTGACTTTTAAAAAATCTTAGGCTGAATTTTACGTGCAGAGAGTTGTTCAGCTTCCAACAACCTGTCAGACCCAGTCCAATGACACGGAGATATATGAGGTGATTTCTATGCCTGACACAACTGTAGGACTGTTACAGTGGCAAATTTTCAACACTGCGGTCCTAGCAAGAAGCGGGATGTGGAGGTTTTACTGAGCAGCAGCCAATCAGGGTGTTGAAAAAGCACTTATGGGCTCAGCAGAACATAAGGGTTCAGCTGCATATGAGCCTAAGGTCACCACGCCCAATGCCAAGCGTCACCTAGAGGGGTATAAAGCCCCCCAGCACCTGGCTGTGGAGAAGTAGAACTGTGTTCTCTGGAGTGATGCAGCTCCATCCAATACGTTTAGCATGAGCTAGAGTGGCGTGTGATCCAGAACTAATCATCCAACATCAGTACCTAACCTCACTAATGCTCTTGTGGCTGAATGTAATCAAATCCTCACAGTAATGTTCCAACATTTAGTGTAAAGCATTTCCGAAAAAGTAGAAGCTGTTAGTCAATAGGTGTCTACACAGGAATTTGGACATAGGTAGTGGTGCTTTAACTCTGACTGGCTGGATGTCTTCCTGTAGCCCACTAGATGTTTGTTGCAGGAGTAGTTGAAGCAGAGGCATAAGCTGAACTGACCTCTCTCTTCCAGACAGGGTTGATGGTGTTGCAGATGATGCTAGATCTCTTCTCTTGGCCGTGGTGGGGGAGAGCAGGGAAGATGCTGTGCTTTCCAGGCTGGATGGCGATCTTCAAGTATGGATCAGGGTTGAAGAACATTCCTTTCTTCAGCCCCACTGCCTGGATATCTGACATACAGCAAAAAAGAGGAGAAGGTAAGCACGTGGCCATAGGATTCTCTGAATGACAAACACATAGTGGTCCATAATTACATTACAACAAAAATAATAATTGCAAACAATGCAACGCAGTATTTGTGATGGACTAGCGGCATGTCCAGGGTTTTCCTTGGCTCCTAGGCTCCAGCACCTCCCATGACCCAGGAGGATGGGTTGGTTAGATAATGTGTATGTGTGTGTGTGTGTGTGTGTGTGTGTGTGTGTGGTTTTATAAAGCACCAAAAAGGTCTTTTTCTATTGTTACAAGCTTAACATCGTAACAATAGAAAAACCCTTTTTGGTGCTATAGAACCATTTTCAAAAAGGTTCTATATAGAACCATGCACAACACATTCTCTACATAGGTTATGCTTATAAACAAAACCATTGCGTTTACTAAAGAACCCTTAAAAAAACATTGTTTTAAGTGTGTTTCCTCTAAAAAAGAGTTCAATAAAAAAATAAAAACACTATGATCGAATTTGGAAGTCAAAAAATCATAACAGACTGTAACAGACTCTGTGTCTTACTGTAAGAGAGATAAGTAGAAAAAAAACAGTATTCCAGTTTAACCAAGTTTAGTCCCTTATAAGTTCATCATCATTACAACTTTAGCTGGACTTTAGCAAGATCTGAAGCATACTCTACTCCCTTGAAGGATATATTTTTCACACATTCAGGCAGAATCCAAGGACCCCTAAAAAAATGTGAGAAGAACAAGACAGATAAAGAGAAAAACAGATAGATAGAGAGAGAGTAAGAGAGAGAGAGAGAGAGAGAGAGAGAGAGAGAGAGACAAGACACAACAAGAATCTCTGGGGAGCTAATTATCCACTTCAGTATTTGGTTAAATAGAGAAACACACAGAGACGTCTCAGTCCAGATGTGTCTCAACAACAATGTTGGTTGTTGCTGACTACTCGTCTTTACAGAACACATTTGAAAGGCAATCAACCACAGTCCTTTGTATACTGAGTGAAGGGACTCCCCTTATGAAGGTGACAAAGCCACAGACCAGGGTGCCCAAACCTTTTGTCTTGGCAAGCCAAAGAGCAATGTTTGTCATGAGCTGAGGGCCAAATTACAAAAAAATATACAAATAAAGAAGGTTCAACTGGGTGTTAAACTGAGTTTTTAATAATGTATTTTATAACACTGCACTACATTTTCTCACTGAAATACTTTAAACCTACATTTTAAAAGGAGAATAGTAGACTGTCGGTCATTGGGTGAGGGGGTGGGGTTTGATTCATCTTCTGGCAAATTTGGCCTGGACAGCCCTATCATAGAAGAACCACTGTACATATAACGGAAGATGAGATTTGCTTATTGACTTCTAAGCAATAGTATAATTTTAATATACTACATAGGGTTGTATAAATATGGATATACTACATATAGTTTTTGCTCTACTAAGTACAGGGAAAAACACTCAAATCTTTGTCTGTGGTAAAACTGGCTTACATGTTTGTTTTTTTTTATCACAGTATCTTATGATTTATTTTGTCAAAATCATATTTAACCATGCTAGCCAATAAAAAAAGATGATGATGATTGTTGATGAACTGCAGGATACATGGTGAAAGGTTTCATTAAGACATTGCTAAGATGGAAAAAATGTTTGTAGGGCAGGTAAAATCCTTCAATGCTGACTGACTATTGGTGGACTCTCTTCTGCAAACATTACACATTTTTAATTTTCTTTGCATACAATATGCTGCTGTCAGAGATGCAATTATGCAAAATGTGTAATCTCTTTTTCTTACAAAGCATACGTGATACAGACTTTATGCTTACATATTTGTTTGAGCTCGTCAAAGTGTACATGTTTCATACTGGACATGTTTGTCCAGTGTAATCAATTGTACACTACAGATGGAGCAGATAAAAGATTAGGAAAAATGCTAAAGTATGCCTTTCTAGAAACACTTATTAAAATGTTCTACAGAAAATAAATAATGTTTTTTTATGATACAGCTCTGAAAAACTTTTTGGCACCTGTATTTTTAGGAGTGTACACCTATGTCTTCATACTCAATAAATCCACTTATGACATTCAGGTTGTCACTTGTTTAGCTTCAGGTGTACTGTCTGTGTGACATCACTCAGGACTAATGGGGCCTCTTGTGTCCTCCTCTGCTAAGTATCACTGTAGACCTCTCATTTCACTGGAGAGCCTGACGCTCAACCTCCCTAATCTGCTAATGTGTATATGAGTACCAGCATGCTTAGGTAGACTCCTAGCAGACTCCAAGCCCAGGGCAGGAGAAGTGCTTATAAATAAAATATAGGAGGGCACAGGAGAGGGCTGCTCTGACAGCATGGTGACTGACAGGATGCTAGCAGAATGACAGTGTAAGGAAGAGAGAAAAGGTAGTGTACAATAGAAAAAGAAGAAGAATATGTTGGTGAGATGTCATATTTAAAATGGTTACAGCTGTAAATCTATAACCTTACAATGATTTAATTTGTTATGTATGCATGTATTTATTTATTTATTACTTGTGTATTTATATATTTTTTTAATTAGGCACAGATACATAAGCACAAATTTTTGATATTATGGCTATGTGCGAATTTGCAATACTTACGCCTGATAAAACATTGTTTAAAAAAGTATTCTTTAGCAAAGTAAACCTACTCTTTGCATGCATTACGAACTCTCAAATTTCAGTAGAATTTAATGTTTTTTTTAAATTCATGATTATTTTAAAAAATACACAGAATAAACAAAATACAAAAATGAACTTTTAGCACAGTAATGGAATGTAGACAATAATTATGGACTTTCAAAAAAGACAAATAAATAATACCAAGAATTTTATTTTATTCTGTCTTTTTTGAATATTATTATAATGAATAATAATCTATTCTAACATCCTGAATTAATATGCTTATATACTGAATCAATATACAATATTCTACTTTAGATCAGGGCACCATGATACACTGACACATGTTCACATGGCTAAATAACTGTAAATATACACCGATAAGCTAAACCTTAATGACCACTCACAGTATCACAAATAAAATGACAGCTGCACAAGTCGAAGTCTAGGATATGTTAGACAGTAAGCAATCAGTTGTTTCTTGTGGTCAACAGGTTGGATGTGGGGTAAACGGTAAAGCATGAAGACATGAGCGACTTTGACCAAACCATTATGGTCAATGTAGTCCAAGGAAGGAGAAACTATAAACTTAGCTCAAAAATTTGAAAGGAGTACAATTTCCAGGTTCCTCCCCATCTCTCTCCCCTGCGCTCCATCCCTGCCTTCGAAGCCCCACCAGAAAAAGAGGCTGCCATGCACGTGCAGGCAACACTGTCAACTCAAGCTTTTGTTTACTTGTCTTTGTCGTGTACCCTGCTTCTGGCAAAGGTGGGATGGGTAGTTTTCTACTTGATGGTTGTTTATCCACCATTGCGTTTCCTGAAGCCACTCATTGATGACATTGAGCTTGACCGAGTGAAAGCATGTGCAGGCAGAAGCAGTGCATGGAGAAGGGGGGCTGCCCGCTGCGTGTGCACAAGCAGTGATTGACACTCTGTCACACACTCCTTCTGGCTCTGATTGGTTGCTCTGATTCGGGTTACCTATTGCAGATATAACCTCCATTCGCCAACACCTACAATGGGCATGTGAGCACTGGAACTGGAACTTAAAGCAATGGAAGAACGTCATCTGGTCTGATGAGTCCAGTTTTCTTTTACATCACATGGACGGCTGGGTATGTGTGCAGCATTTACCTGCAGAAGTGATGGCACCAGGATGTACTTTGAGAAGAAGACAAGCCAGCGGAGATAGTCTGATGCTCTAGGAAATGTTCTTCTGAGAAACCTTGGGCACAGGCATTCACGTGGATGTCAATTTTACATGTGCCACCAACATGATACTGATATTCCTCAGTGGCAGCGGCCTCTTTCAGCAGGACAATGCACCCTGCCACACCGCATATGTTGTTCAGGAATGGTTTGAAGAACATGTGGAAGAGTTTAAGGTGTTGCCCTGGCCTCTAAATTCAACAGATCTCAATCCAATTGAGCATCTGTGTAATATGCTTGAACACCAGTCTGATTCATGACAGCTCCATCTGTCTGAACTTACAGAACTTGAAAGATCTACCACTAACGTCCTGGTGTTAAATACCACAGGGCGCATTTAGAGGTCTTGTAGAACTCATGCCTTGATGGGTCAGAGCTGTTTTTGCAGCACACAGAGCAACAGCATATTAGGCAGGTGGCTATGGCATTTTGGTTCATCAGTGTATGGTTACATGCTACTGGTGCACAAACTAGATTGAACTAAACCAGCTCAAATATCCACATGCGAATAGTCCAATATATAACAACAGTGGGAGGCTCTAGAGACATAAGATCCCACAGTGTACCACCCTTAATCAAAGAACACAGATAAAAGTCTGTGCTGCATCTTTTTAAGCCATTCTCTAATTTACACATCAGATATCTTTGAGCTACAGAGTCCTGTTCCTAACTGAAGGAATGAGGGAAGTGGAGAACATCTAAAGCACCATAAAACAAAATGCACATAGTGCTGCACACAGTGTATCAGTGAATATTTGGCACAATGTGCTTGTCCTCATGTCAGAGAGGTATTATACAGTGAAATGGCAGAAGGCACGACAGATTTCCCGGACATCTCTCTACAGCACATACAGAAATAGTTTAGAATTAGGTTGCGTGCAGTACTGTTCTAGGGCCTCCAAGCTTAAGTCAAATGATAACATGCAGTGAAAGTTCTATGACTGTTTTTTGTAAAGTTAAAGCAGCTACTCAAGAAAAATAAGGGACTAGAAGAGACAAAAAGAAAGACGCTGTGTCTGAAATCCTGTACTTCTTTAGTGTTCTATCGAACTTTAGTGCAAGTAATGTTACATGGGGAAATGAAACGGTTTGTGGTGTACTGTTAATAGCCAGATGTTGTCTTAGAGTTGCTGAAAAAATTAAGTGTGAAATGTTGCTCACTGTCTGAACTCAGCAGTCGCAGGAGAAATTCTGATGTCTTTAACCCTCAATAACAAAACATTACTTGTGGTACTGTATTATCTGCAATACACACCATAGGATTACAAAATGTTATAATGGTACCTGAACATGTAATGTTACACTTACCAATGGTAGCTTATGTAAGAAGCACTAGATCCCAAATTCAGACAAATGGAGAGATTTTGCTGTGAGCAAAAGATCTCAAGCCACAATGGAAAAAAATGCTAGTGAAAAACAAACTTATATATTCTATACAGATGTTTGGGTGCCCCTGATCAAATGACATGGTTTGTTCATTTTCTGAGTGAAAATAAGTGACACATCCTCTACAGAAAACACATTTCTGGCTATTTTGACGTAGAATTACTGTTTATTTGCTGAATTTAACATATTGGGCAAAAAATAAACATAAAATGTGGTCTGTGCAAATGTTTTATGTTTCCTTTTTCCCAATATATTAAACTCAGCAAATGCATAGAAATTATCATTAAAACATGCAGAACAATCCCATATTTATGTCTGTTCCCTGAAGAGGAATGTAATTTGACTGGGGCTATACAAACTTTTGCATATAAAATTTTGTATGTATATATAATGTAAGAGAAAGGTGAAAACACTAACACAGGCCAAAATTTAGCAGCGCTAATCCTGAATGGTCAACAGGCAAGACAAAGCCCTAAGTGAACACTTTCTTTAAAAACATTTTAAAAGAAATGTAAAATTTAAAGAAAAATGGCAACACACACTATCAACTGACAGCCTTAAACATTCCCAGCTGCTTCCTGGATTTTCAGAGTGCTGCCTCCTCCTTCCTCAGTTAATGAAGATGATTTTCTCCAATCAACGTTTTGAAAGAGAGCAATCACAATCTAGCCTCATGCTGAAACATAATTTAGGAGGATTTCCCCAGAAACAAAGCTATGATTAAACAGCCTACAAATTCAGATTTGATTTGTCCTGCTCATGTTTTGGACATTTTGGACCTGACTGAATGTGTACATTTAGTCAAGAGTATACACAATTTTTGCATAGACTGATATCTGGTACTACTTTCGGGCCAATATCAGCAGAAAATGTAGGACTGGATATCAGAGAGAAAAAAAAAATGATTCGATTCTGTAACAATGTAAATAAATCAATTGTAATGTGAAATTGGTAACTGAAGAGAAACTTCCAACTCCGATATCTTTACAATGGTGGTGAAAGGAACTATAATGCAAATGTAGCCATTTAATATAATACCCAAAACTACCAGTGAATCTACATTTGAGTTTTTTAGTAATGTTGATAAGAAGAAAATAGCAGTAAATCTTAAAAAAATTTTCCTTGGGAACTATTTTTCTTCACAACACCCTGCATTTACCTCTCCACCATGAGCAACTTTTTAAAAATACTCTAAGGTCAAAACTTTAATGAAAACTACCAAAAAACCTTTTAATTCAGGCATCAGGAAGCATATTCATAACCATTTCATGTAGTATCTTTCTGTACTCTTCACACATCTGGTTCCTATCACCACCACTGTAAAAATTCTCTACAACGGAGCATTTCACATCAAACCACTTTAAATGACAATAGTTATATCTTAAAGATTTAATTATGCCAAATGTTTGGTGTAATTCCCCTTTTAACAGCTGAACTTTACTGAAAACCATGACAATGTTATAGGATGTGTGAGAGAATATATAACCTACCAGCCACCTACAGGAGGATTGCATGGATGAAACTTTTACAGCCCATTACCACATATTACACCAGACCAAGACACCTCACTGACAGTTCTGCCTTTTGGGCATTGAGACACATTCCTGACAGCTTACACAAGTGACACTCTGTGACAAAGGCAAAGGAGAGAGTGGACTGGAGAAATGAGAAAGAGAGGAGAAGAGTGATGGTGTAGACTCACCTGACAGGGAGAAGCTGATGAGTCGCCTGTTCCCCAGACTCTGAGTGACCTCCTGACTCACCACGGGCTTCAACACCTACACACAGAGAGGAACACAGAAAAAAAATCACTTTCTTTGCAGAATGATGCACATTCCAAAAAGCCTCGCACTGCTGCACAGCAAGTGAAGACAGTACAGGGATTTAGATTAAGACAAAAGAACAAGTAATAAAGAAGAAGAGAGTGTGAAAGAGGTTCAAACTCAGAAAAATTGCTTTGAAGACTGTCAGCACCTTCCCACAATCCACTTTCTCTCCTTCCTCCCTGTCCTCTCTCTCCTATGGCATGGTGCTAATAGGCCATTCCAGAGGCCCAGGCTCATGGCTGGAGATCAATAGCATGCATTCATTAGTCCTGCATTGATCCAGTGTCCAGGAAGAGGAGGAGCAGGAGGGTCAGTGTGCTTTAGACAGCGGGCTACTCATGAAGAGTAGAGTAGAGCTCAGTTTCACTGTTACAGTTGTTTTGCTATACTATTTATAATAAAAGATTATACACTGAACTTGAACTGAACATGATCTTGGAATTTTATCTAGACATTAATTGCCATTTAAATAATTGACTCTATTTAATTAATCAATCAATTAACTGTATTGTTTGTTCAATATATACAACTACTGAAGTACAAGTCTAACGTGTACACAGCTCAAGCTCAAATAAACAAATATTAGTCACCGCTGTGTTGTGCAGTTTTTGCTTTTTTATTCAAACTTGCCTTAAACCAATGAAAACACACCCCATTCAAATTCTGATTGTTGCGTCATAAACTTGCGTGAAGCTAACAACTGTGGAAAATAATTGCTCAAATAACTGTAATAAGGAAATTATGTAACAATTGTGACAAGCCAATTATTTTTCTTTGATTTATGCTTTTAATAAAAATACTACAAAGTGTTAGTGATGAGTCGTAGAAGAGAGCAGAAGAAACAGCATCTTTTTAAACAGCGACAATAAGAATCGGCCAAGATCGAAATCCGCAGCTTTTTACTCAAAACATGAAATCAGAAATCGGCAAGTTTATGATTTTTACTTTGGCTGATCTGTGTTGCAATTCTATGATGTAAATAATGTGAAGCAGATAAGTGCTCTCATATTATATGCACTTTATTTGCATGCTGCTGCTACTCTTACACCAAAATATCACAGCATAATTTTGCATGACCCATTCTGCTAGATAGGCAGTTCCTTCTTACTGTCGATATTGCAAGTTATTTGATTCATGTTATTTAAATAGGTAACTGATTTAAAATAGAATAATTTAACGTCCCAATTTAATCCACTAATAGAAATGTTCTTTATATTGCAAGTTTGGCTAATAGAACGTTCTGGAAATATGCTAGTGTGTTTCAGATGTTCATTTATCCCACACAGTATGAGTTACAGGTTAAAAAAAGGCTAATAAAAATCAGCCAGATCCACACAGCTAGTTATCCAGCATGCTCTCTTTTATTTTTGGAAATAAACGTAACAGAGAGCATGGTAGCAAGCTAGCAATGCAGAGCAGTAGAAAACTTCATTTGGACGGCACTTGGAGTTAAAATGTATCGTCGCAGTTAGGAATAAAGTCTCAAGTGTCGCAAAAGGGTCTTGTGTTCAAAGCTGACAGGTGTGTGCTGACAACTGGTTGGTTATGACAGATAAATAAACTCTGGTTTCCCCACAGAAGTGTGTGGTTTCATAAACGTGGTCAAGGTGTCAGTTCTTCATAGGACTTTAACACTTTTAAAGATTTTAATGATATATATAATATAACTGAATATTCTGACAATTCTGACAATTACCTAGTTAGTCATGCATGGCTTTAAACTTACATCTAAATTAAAGTGTGTGCCAAAGGGTTTGCGTTTCAATGTCAAAAAATGAGAAGCACGTATCAAAAATGTAAAGGATGCTTTTGCCTTCTGCAAGTCAAGTCAAATTTATTTATATAGCGCCTTTTATAACAGATGTTGTCACAAAGCAGCTTTACAAAGAATCCGGATCCACGCCGCCAGTGAGCAAGCCTTGGCGACAGTGGCAAGGAAAAACTCCCTCAGCAGGAGGAAGAAACCTCGAAAGGAACCAGACTCAAAAGGGGAACCCATCCTCCTCTGGTCGACACCGGATAACAGCACAAACACAAAACAGTATAAATGGATACAGTTTTACAGTTCTGTACAGTGTTGGGTATGGAGTTTAGAGTCCTTTGTACAGTGAAGAACACACAAGGATCCACATAGCACAAGGCTCTGCGATGCTCTACGATGCACCCAAGCAGCCCATCCGATCAACTGTATTGCTATATGTCCCACCATAGCCTTTCAGCAAAGTCAAGACATAACAATATAGATCGTCTAATACTTATAAACACATACATGGTACTGATCGAACGTTTAGAATCCACACTATCAACATAATATCTGTGCTTCTTGCGGTGAACTATGAGTGAGAAACAGTTACTGTCAGATTAGGTTTTTCAGTTATCAGTGGTGATGATAATTAAAGGATTAAGAAAACAATAACAAAGAAATGACAAACTATAGGCTACTTTTAATAAAGGGAGCTGTTAATAGGACAGAAATCATAATGTTTTACCTGTTTATTGGAGCATTTCTAACTGTGACAACAGATTGGGTTAGAATGAAAAATGTGTCTTGTTGAAGCTTCATCTTTCAGCAATAAGGTCACTAACCTTACTGACCTCTTACTGACATAATCATTACTTTCTCGTAGGCTTGGAAACAACAGAAAAAGTACACATGCTTTCTTCTTAAATGACAGGAGTTGAATGCTGCTGATTTCCAAACGGATCAATAGGGTGTTACTCACAAGACAAAGTGCATAAAAGTCCATAAAACAGGAGACCTTTCAAAAGGTTCATGTAAATACCGCATTCAGCTGAAGCCACTTGATAGGCAATGTTCAAAGCCCTAAAGACAAAAAGCCTCCAAAAGATAGTTTTGGGGTGAAAACGAGAGAAAACAAGGAGAAGCACAGAGCAGGTGTTTGGCCCGCTGGCACCCAAATGAGATGCAAATCCTGTCCCATTGACCATCAAGCAGAGGAGGCTTTCCCTGATGGCCCAGACGCACAGTGGCACCAGGCTTTTCACAGATTATCCACATATACAGACAGATTAAAATAATCTGCCGGGTGCCTGAAATCCCAGACACTGTATCGATTCAATGAGAGATGAACTGTGGTGTTCACTGGCTTATTGGCATGGATGACGCATTAATCTCACCCCGGGTGGCTGGGGACAGATGAGACAAACAGTATTATGCCCAAGGCGAAGATCAGCTTTATCCTGTCAACTGATGGGGCAAGATGAGACCTATGTTTTGTTTTCTGGGGGGATACTGTATTGCTGTAAGAAGGAAAGCCAAACAAGCACTTGAAAAAGGGAACCTTGCTGTCCAGTACATCTTGAAATATAAAAGGACTTTTTATAACATTTCCAATACATGTACATTTCAGAATGAACAACATTTCAGAAAATAGCTTATTAAAGGCCCAAGTTTAAAATAAAGAGGAGTTGTCCAGTCAGTCTCTGTAAAGGAACTGAGTTGTAATGAGCTGATTTCTAATTACTCCCTTCGACTCACAATAATAGGCCACTGAATGCTTTTTATGGCACTGTTTGATGTATTAGAGCCCATTTAAGAATGGCCAGAGGCTCTGTAGCAAACACATTTATTGGTCAGGACAAAAAGGGTCAGCTACCCTGCTAGCCTTCTCCAGCTGCTCCAGCTCTAAGTGTAAAACTAGTTAATTGAATCCATGGGCAGCACTTTGGTGTAGTCATCAAAATGTATACAGGCCATCTGAGCCCAGCTTTGCTGACGGCGAGTGGGTGATTGTTTTAAAAAGAGTCGTCCGTGTGGAGGACGCTGAATGCACTTCTGTGTGCTTGTGTGCAGCTTTTAGAGAAGCAACGTAGACTGAAAGAGAGAGAGAGGGCAGATGGAGGAAAGGAAAGAGAGGCTTGCTGTACGCAGGATGAATACTAATGCACTAAGTGGAGTCCCACGTGAGGAGTGTGTGCAGCAGGACAATGAGTCAGCGCACTCCCACAGCAGAGAGAGCACCACGCGTAAACATACCACTCACAAACCTCAACACTCGCAGATCTACTCTCTCCATCACCTACAGCATCAACTACAGCACCACAGAAGTACCACATACACCTACTCGTAAAAATGAATGTGCCAAGAGGGATTCATAGAACAGCCATTTTTTGTTCTCTAAAGATCCTTTCAATAAACGGTTCTTTTAAGAGCCTTTTTTTTTTTGTAAAAGACATGTGTAAGTGTGCAGACTCGGGGGCAGGGATGATATTTTTGTTATTGTGATAAATTATGTCACAATATGCTTTTCTCATGCATATAGTCATTACTTAACCCTTGTGTGGTGTTCAGGTTGGTGGGACCCATTTTCAATGTTTGCCAAAAGAAAAAATGATGTGATTTATTATTATTTTAACCTCAGATTCCTTGGCCTTTGCTCATTTTCTGTGAAGAACATATAAAATAACACATTTTAGTATCTTCACACTGTTCACCCCCCAAACATTTATATTACACATGTGGTGTTGGGGTAAACCAGTGGGGAATAAAAGTGTGGAGGTGCTGTGTCCTTCACTCTGTTCTCCTCCTACATGGCCTGCTGTTAGTGTGTGTGCGTATGTGTGTGTATTTGTTTGTATGTGTGTGTGTGTGTGTGTGTGTGTGTGTGTGTGTGTGTGTGTGTGTGTGAGGGTGGACAACACAGACAGGCTGCTGACTGGCTACAGCTGCTACAGAGAACCCTATGCTGGCTAATTGTGATATTTTAAACATCTGGTATTTTCACATAAATTGCTATGGCTGTATTGATTTAAAAAAACAACAATGCCGTTGGTTTGCCAGACCACTGAGTAACAAAAATATGAACACCGCACAAGTGTTAAAACACACTTCCCAACTGCATAACTGACTACATTGAGAGTATAACCAGTCCTGTTTAAACTTATTACATACAAAGGCTTATTATTCACTAACTACAGGGACTTCAATGCAA